CCTGAAAAAGGAAAGTGAGCCAAAATTTTCATTGACACATGTGTTGACAGCCTGTTTGTGTTGACTGCTTGTCTGATTTTCTGAAAGAGTGAATTAGTAACTGTTATAGCAGCAGCCACAACTGACCCACAGCTTCAGCCAACAACAGATCCAGCTTACCATCGGGCACTACTCCAGTCAGCCAGTCAGTCAGGCAACCAGCAACAGTACCTGGTCAAGCCAGCCATCTTCACCAGCAGCAATGACATGCAATAAACTATTCTTTTCAGGACAACACTTTTCAACCACTACAAAACTGTTTTTTCAGGACAATTAATTATGTTTGACACTTTAATTAATTTTTATTTTTTATAGATATGACACAGTGACAGTATAATTAATTTTTTATTTATGCATTTCTTTATGGACACAATATGTTCAAACACTGAGTTAGCAAATATTTAGCTGACAGATCTTTTCAAGTATTTATTTATCAGACCACTTCAAGTATATATATATATATATATATATATATATATATATATATATATAGTCATTTCACCCCAAACAAGGAAATAAAGCCAACTAATTTTTTCATCTATTTTGTTTTTATTGTGATGTTGATTACTGCAGAATATCTTTGTAGAAGTTTGTTTTTTTACATTCAAAATTAATGAACACTTAGTGAACATTGTTTTAGAAGGTTTATTTTCACATTCATGTATCCTTTTTGTAACACAGAGTTTGTAGCCTATGATACATTGGAACAGGGAGAGGAGAGGCCGCTCCCTTTTTGTAACAAGCAGTCATTCTTGTTAGTTCTTTGGTGTTTAGAGGAATGGATCAGCCTCTCCCATTTTCTGACAAAAAGAGAAAGAAAACTGACCTTGATGCTCTCTTTTCTTAGGATTCTATTGCAGCTGGTAAGTGGTGAGTATGTGTGGTGAGTGCAAGTAGCATTGTCCTTCGCTTTGGTACTGGGTTTTTGATCTTATGTTTTTGCTTAACTGATTAACTAGTTTCAGTAACAAAGTTTACTGATTGACCTGACCTTAAGAATTTTTTTAATCATTTCAAGGTAGTAATTCCACTAGTACGCAGGAGGTTATATGAAGTGAAAGTGAAAGAGAAGACCTAGAAAACCGAGGATTGAGAAATGACTGAAAGATGAAAAGGGGTTCAAGAAGACAGAAGATGTTGCATTTAAATTTTTGAAGATTGTAGTTATCAAGGAAGCAAGTAAATAGAAAGGTGATCTACAGGTGGGAATTAATGAAACATGCTGGTGTTAATGTTAATGAGGTGTTAAGAGGACGATAAGTAGGTGAGACTTTTCAGGAGATTTAAGAAATATCTTTATTTTATTTATTAAATTTAGACTACAAATAGAGTTCAATCATATTGACCTGTCCTTAAGATATTTTTCTTAATCATTTCATCCCAGGCAAGGCAGGAATTCCATGAGTATGCAGCAGTTTACAAGAAACGAAAATAAAAGAGAAGGATTGAGTAAGGACAAAAGATGAATAGAATTCAAGAAAAGAGAAGATGGCGATTGATGTTGCATTTAAATTTTTGAAGATTGTAGTTATCAGGGGAGCAAGTAAACAGAAAGGCGTTCCACAGGCTGGAAGTGTGAGAAAAGAAACTGTTGGTGTAGGAGTGTCAGTTTTGATGAATTTCCTCATTTATGACATAACGCCAGATGATTCTAAGTTTGATAAATTCCAAGAGGAAGTCAGTGGGTGCCAAAATATTCTTCATATATTTCGCTTGGGTTCACCAAATAATTTAGCCTACACGTAGAGTTTAGTAATATTGACCTTTCCTTAAGATATTTTTCTTAATCATTTAACCCCAGGCAAGGCAAGAATGCCAGAAGTGAGTACACAGGGTCTTACAGAGAATGAAAATGAAAGAGAAGACTCAGAATAGGAAGGATTGAGGAGAGCACAAAAGATGTGGGGAAAATATCTGCTGTTTTGAGTGATACATAGAAAGTGTTGCTTGAAGAAAGTTGGTTACAATTGATGCAGGAGACTTGATTAGTGCTAAAAAAAAATTCATTTGCTAAAAGACAATTTAATAACAAACTTAGATGAAGGTGAGATTTTTTTCTTCAGCATGGCTGTGTCCCATGCTACAGATTGTACGCAAGAGAGCAGAATCAAACTGATGAAGGTGTCACCGTATTGAAAGATAGGCCGGCTTAAAGACCTGATTTAAATATTATCAAGCAGAGTTGAACGAGATAAGCAACAGAGAACGATGACTTATACCTGTGAAGATGGTGAAAAAGTTGAACATATTACTTAAAAAGAAAAAAAAACAATTATTTTACCCCATGTAAGGTGGGAATGCCACTAGTATACAGGGGATTACAGAGTGAAAGAGAACATTGAAATGGACTCTCAATTCATTGTCTGAACCCCCCAAAAAATCGTTTTCTGAACCCCCAAACAAATATCAACTGTATATTTTTAAAGTAAAATTAACAATACATTTCAGGATCTACAAAATATATATGTAAAAAACACGACTTTAATGTAAAATATAAAATCACAGACAAAATATCTGTTGTTGAAAGCATAAAATTGTGTACAAAATATTTAGATTTTGACAGTAAATAAAACATAGAGGCTGATATGCCAGCAAACATATTCAGCCAGACCCCTTAATTACAAAAATCTCATCTACAGATTTGAAACGAGCAATCAATAAACAGGGGAGTGGCAAAATCTATGGAACTCCTACCCAAATGATAAACTGAATAAAATTAAACCAACTATAGAAGAATGGCATCAGAAACAAAAAACTAAAAGAGAAAAAGTCACTAAGTCCATCTTTCACATTGAACATACTACCATAACCTATTTGTCTATCCTAAAAAGAAAGATCCTTTGGTATGTGTGACAGGCCACAAGCAATTCAACATAAAACACATACTGATAAAATGCAGCAATTTTAATTCAATCTGCTTAAAATACTACTAAACAACAAACTTAAAAGAACTTTTTCAAAATACTGATTCACTTTACATATTCCGGATTCTAAGAAAAATTAAACTAATTTAAAAAATATAATAAAAAATAGCCATAACTAACTGCAGTCTTACTATTTAAAATTAAAAAAAAAAAAGAATTGACTGTTTAAATACAAGATTTATTTAGAAAAATATTAAATTTCAGCATTAACCTAACAGATTGATATGTTGGAAAACAAATTAAGCAAAAAATGAACAAGGGGATAGCAACAGTTTTTTTTTTAATTTATAACTCTAGATACAGATGTAAAAGAAATCTATACCTTCAGTGAAAAGTAAAAATAAAATCATCCTTAATAATGGCTAAAAGTATAGCCAAAAGCATTCAGACATGCGGAACATTTGGGCAATTGCTACATAATCTATGTCCAGAAAACACACACACACACATATATATATATATATATATATATATATATATATATATATATATATATATATATATATATATATATATATGTACATGCGTTTGTGTGTTATTTCTCTCTGATTTAAACATAATAATAATTTGACAAGATCCAGCTTTTTGGTATCATTGTAGAAAATTGTTATTGTTGACTAGCCAACCGTATCAACAAAAGGTAAAATAAGCGAAAAAAAAAAAAAAATTTATTTGACAGAATTGCCCTGTTATGCATTTTCTGCATGGTTAGACCTGCAACAAATTACTCTGACTAGATTTGCAGGTCATAAAACAAGGCAGAGGCAAAATTTCCTTGATAAGAAATGGCCTAAATAAGAGATTATTAACTGAGTAAATGGTCTTTGACGAGGTTTTGCTTCAGTGGAGTTTTCGTAATAAATTCTTGCAGCGTTCATGTAAATCCATTCTTGTTACTGATCTTCACTTTATCTTTTCATCGTCCATAAATCTGAGGATCAACTATTGAGCCATTGATGTAGAACTTAATACAGTAATTGGGAACAACACACATTGATTTGCCTGCTTCTCGTTAAAACAGCATAGTATTTTTTTTATATTTTCTTGTTCGTGCTTTCTTGACTGATTCATCGTAGAGATTTCATGAATTGAAATTCTTTCCCATTCCATCCACAGAATCATAGCACGCATCTATGAGCGAGTTTCAAAAAATACTTCCACTCAATAGCTGGCTGTTATTCATTCCTGAATACACCTGTCTGAAGGGGTTTGCTAACCAATCCTTACTACAGATAATAGCTCAACCCTCAAAACCCACTTCTGAGTTACATTGCAACTATGTTGAGAAAGTCTTAGTAACAAAGAGAGCAATTAATCTGGTATGATCAATCTTTGTAACAAGGCTAGTGCACTCAAAATGTGTCTTGTGTCACCTCTTGTTTCAAATCTTAAGATCCCCCCCACAACACTACATCAGAGACTCTTTCAGTGACATTTATATATAGGTAAATGTTGTAAAGTAGGACTCTACTACCTGTTCTTCCCTACTCCAGTGACAATGGACTATTCCTACTTACTATTTAATAAACATTTTTTTTTTGTTTACTCTTACTGGTCTTCTGCTTTTTCAGTTTTCTCCCTAACTACGGTCATAATTCTCGGTTATTTTGAACAAAGACAACATTACAACAGTAAGTAATGACTAGTTGCTGCTATCAGGCACATGCTCAAACATATTTGCATTTTTTTTTTTTTTTTAATCATTTTACCACAAGAAAGGCAATAAACCCCAAAATACACAGGGGGTTACTGAGTGTGAAAGAATATATGAAAAACATTATTAAACAGTGAGAACAATAAAAGAACAGAAATTATGAAGATGGAAGATGACATTGATGGAGATACTTTTGAGACCGGAAAGTGAGGACTGAGCAGCTCCTGCCTTAATATAACAGCAGTACTTCATTTTATATGTCTGGCTCTTGTGTAGGTAGAAGATAGCATGAGGAGTCAAATACTTGATCAGTACAGGGAACCAACCATAACTGTTTTTTTTGTCTGAAAATGGTTAATTTATATCTCCTCAATATTAAAATGATGCCTGATAATATAAAAAGGGTAGCGGATATCTGCATAATATACATACACATATATATGCATACATAATATAATACATAAAATTGTAGAGATTAAGAAAGCATCTGGGGAGTCGGTTCCATAGAGCAGTAGTTCATGGGAAGAAGTTGCTCAAGTTGATCTTACATCTCACCAAAGATCTACAAAGGTGTGTAGCATAGTAAGTCTTAGTTGTAAAGGTTAGAACTCGTGGAACTAAGGAATAAGCTCTTTTCAGGAAAATAGTGACAGAGCAGTGAGAGGTTTGTGATATTTCGGCTGTGGGAAAAGTGGTTGTAGGGTGGAAAATAATTTGTCACCTACAAGGATGCGGGAATGCTTTTGAACTCTATCAAGACTAGAAAGTGATGACTGATCAGCTCCTGCCTAAATATGTTAGCAATATTCCATTTTTGGCCTGATCTGGCTCTTGTAAAAGTAGAAGATTCCAGGAAGAGTCAGGTACCATTTCAGCAAGTACCTGACTCCTCCGGGGATCTTCTACTCAGGCCAAAAATGGAGTATTGCTGACATATTTAGGCAGAAGCTGCTCAGTCCTCACTCTTCAGCATCTTTAGCAATAGATCATATATCCGAGTTCAACTTGAGGTTAGGTGGGAGCCCAAGGCATGGGGCCTCCCAGAAGGAACTTCCTTTCAATGGTATTGGTGAATGTTCTTGGTCTGATTGACATGTTTCTGTGTTCTGTGCGTATGTTTGTATGTGTTTTTATGTGTGTATGTGTGTATGTATGTTTGTATTTTTGTGTTCCTTCTTATCTTTTGTAGTTCTTAGAAAGATTGAGCTTTTATACTTATCTATTCCATTCTGTTATTCATTTACACAACCTGCCTTCAATATTGCCTATGTGTGTCATATTCTCCAAGCCCTCTTTCCTCATGTACCCTAGATATTTGAACTGTCTGTTTCTGATTTTGAATCTAAGTGCCATTTTGTTTGCATTTTCTTTAAAGTTTCTTTGTTACTGACATGTTCAGTCTCAAGGTATTCTCAGCATCCTTCTGTAGAACATCATTTCTCTAGATTCAAGTCTCGTGTTCATCTGTCTGCCATACAGGAAGACTGATATTACATAGCAACTTAGTAGTCTTTTCTCTGATTTAAACCAAATTTTCTTGTTTTTCCTGCTTAGCTTTTGGAAAGCATCTTCCGATGTTCCAGTGCACCTTCAAGAACTGTCAAGACTTATGCGACGATCTCATTAAACACAGAGAAGCAATGCTTCAAAGTCTGTCAAGGCAAAAGTGAACTGAGGTTGAAATAAAAATCTGAACGCAAAATGGAGTTTTAATAGTGAAACAAAAATAACAGATAAATCAAAATGGAAAGAAAATGCTTTTGGATAGAGACTAAGGTAAAACTGCGAAAGACAAGAAGAAAAGGGCAAAGAGAGAGAGTAAAAAGTGACAAGACAAATTTTAAATATTTGATTTTAGAACTGAATTGCTTTTGATAAACGTAATAGAGTTCGTCACAACACTAGCAAAGAAAAACCAAAAAAGATTTTCCATAATTCAATAAATGTCTAGTTCCCACGTTGGCACCAGAATAACAAAAACAATTTTAGGAAAAAAAGATGCTAATAAATGAATTTAGAAATGTTACATTATAAAAATCTAAGGAATGATGCTATTCTCCTAGTATTGTTTTCAACGTCTCTTTTGCAAGAAAAAAACAAGGATTTTCTTTTTTTTTTCAGATTTTCAGTAGTGACTTAATGCATATGTATAAATACACAATGTAATTATGAATGAAGGTTATGGACAGGTTACTTTGGTGGAATATCTATCGATCTTTCTATCTATCTACTTTAGCCTTTTCATTATCTATCTATGTCTCTTCCTGATCTATCTATATATCTATCTATGTCTGTTTCTTCCCAATCTATCCCTTCCTTATCTATCTATCTATCTATCTATCTATCTATCTATCTGTCTGTCTGTCTGTCTGTCTGTCTATCTATCTATCTATCTATCTATCTCTTCATTATCTATCACTATATCTTCAATTTCTATCTATCTATCTTTCTATCTATCTACTTTAGCCTTTTCATTATCTATCTATGTCTCTTCCTGATCTATCTATATATCTATCTATGTCTGTTTCTTTCCAATCTATCCCTTCCTTATCTATCTATCTGTCTGTCTGTCTGTCTGTATGGTTATCTATCTATCTATCTATCTATCTATCTATCTATCTATCTATCTATCTCTTCATTATCTATCACTATATCTTCAATTTCTATCTATCTATCCTTCTATCTATCTATCTATCTATCTATCTATCTATCTATCTATCTATCAGTCTCTTCATTATCTATCTATCTATATATATATATACATATGTGTGTGTGTGTATGTGTGTATCTTCATTATTTATCTTTTTATCTCAGTATCTTCAATATCTATCTCTGTATCTGTCTCTTCATTATCTATATATATATATATATATATATATTATATATATATATATATATATATATATATATATATATATATATGTATATATATATTTCATTATATATCTATCTCAGTACCTTCAATATCTATCTATCTATCTATCTATCTATCTATCTATCTATCTATCCATGCTTCATTGAACAAAACTGACAAGTTTCTTTCATTTAGTTTTTTTTATTTTGTTTCTGTTACATAGGTACAAATCACTTCTTTTCTAGACTTAATGAATTTAAAAATTGTCCAAAAGTTTGTTTTTCCCGAGTGCTTTCATCATTTTCAAGGATTACTTTTTGTTATACAGCTAAAATAAATGGTGTATAAGTGCTATTCAATTTAAGTCATATGAAGGAGTTTTTGTCATGTGTAATTGTAGGTAACATAGTATGAATTTGTCTTTATCTATAGTTTTTCTTACAGAAAAAGCAATTTTGACATAAAATTACCCAAGAACCATTGAAATGTTGTAAAATCTGCTAAACTGACACAAAGCTAAGCTTAGTAAATATCCACCTGAAAAATGAAAAGATATCTGTTTTCTGGTTTGCATTTTTCCTTGACAGTCTTCATCAAATCTCTTTTGGTTATATATTTTGAAATTTACCTTGAAAAAAGAAGGTCATGGATAATGTGATCAAAGGTTTTTTTCATATAAAGTATTATGATGTGAATATATGGAGTGACTAAATATATCAGATGCTGCTGTGAATATGGATAAGGATGCCTTTATAAAATCGACTGTTAGAGAATTTTCAAGATTGTTTCATGTAGAAAGAGCTGTAGTTTTAACTGTTAGAACTTAGTATACTGATAATGTCTACCTTAATGGAAAGATGATTTGAACTTCTTGTTTTTTGTTCCACCTCATTTACACACACCATTCCCTATCTGAATAAGCAAAAACTATCAATCACCATGAAGTGAATTTTGTGTTTTCTACTAGTTTGATTTTAAGAGAGGAATACTGGACACTTTCCAATCAGGTATATTACATTTGGCAGCATGATTACTATTTGTGGGTGATTGCTAGACTGTTATGTAGAATCAATAATCTCATATGGTACTGAATGATGGACAATCTCCTCAAAAATGAAGAAGGCACTTAAGGTGACAGAAATGTGGTTCTACAGAACCATTTTGAACATGTGAACACCTCAGAAGTTTTTAGGAAAACGGAAACAAAAGGACTCTTGAAGTGTTGAAATTTCTAGAACACGAATAATGAGGAAAGTGAGTTTAGTGAATATGACACCCACAGTATATATTAAAGGTGAGAGAAAAAGCAAATAACCTACATAACAAATTGTGTAAATAGATAGCTAGAGAAGCAATGGGCATGATGGTGAAAAGACAAATATCACTGAGATTTACAGAGGATAGGAAGATGTGAAGAGTCATGATCATCCATTTTTTGAAGATATACAGCACTTAGAAGGAAGAGAAATATGATTAAACTATTTTTTATTGCATATTCCTTTTTTTAATGAAGGTTTCTTCTGCTTGTTATTCTCCTTTTATAACTTTCTTCCTGTTTGTCTCAGTTTTTTTTTCATCTTTTTAATTAACCTTATGTTTCTCTCTTTCACTCCTAATTTTCTCCTTCCACCTTGCTCTTTCCCCTCATCTTAATTCTCTTTGAATTCAGAAGGATTATTGTCTTCTTTTATATCATGTTTATTAATATTTTGCATTTTGTTTTATCATTGCTTTTTGCTGAAAATACGTTATTTGATTTAGCACTTTGTCTTCAGTTCTTTTACTGCTGAAATTAAATTTTATTCAACAGCATTTTCTTTCAGTTCCTATATCTTTTAAACCTATTGCCTTCAGACATCCATTTTCATTTTCCTTGTCAGAACAACCTGTACACTTCTTTTCCCCACAATTCCTTGTAACACTTTACATTATTTTTTTCCACATATCCTTACAATTGTAATGTGGACATGTGCTTTTGTGTGTGATAAAATATTATTAAATTTGAAAATATATGTATATATATATATATATATATATATATATATATATATTTTTTTTTTTTTATTAAATTTGAATATATATATATATGTGTGTGTGTGTGTGTGTGTGTGTGTGTGTGTGTGTGTGTGTGTGTGTGTGTGTGCCCATATTCCTTGAATCAATAAAGCTTTTTTAATACAGACATACACACTAATATACTGACAGGCACACCTCATAGAATATAAAAAAAGATAGTTTTAAGGCATGCTATATTTATGGTTAAAAGTGCTCAATGTCAAGGATAGAGTGTATGTAAAATAAAAGTGGACAATGAGGCCAACACAATGTAGAGACATATTGTTTCATTCTGGTCGCCTGAAGACTGACTTCAAACATTGAACAGACTTTCGCCATTCGGTGCTAACCTTGGTGTCAACTCTCTCTCACACACACACACACATATATATATATATATATATGTATATATAATGAAAAATGATGACCTTTATGTGGTCTCTTGAGATTTATCAATGCCTACAGTTATATTTATCCTACTCACAAACATCAGACAGTACAGAGTAAAAATAACTGTGTGGTAATATATATATATATATATATATATATATATATATATATATATATATGAAAAAGTGTATATAAATATAAATAAATATATATATGTATAATTATTTATATATCATATCGCTGGGTACTTATTAAAATATCAGAGATAGAGCTAACATATTTTAACATCTATCCAACGAAATATGTTAGCTCTATCTCTGATATTGAGCGCCAAATATATATATATATATATATATATATATATATATATATATATATATATATATATGAAGAAATATAGTCTTAACATGTGGTATATTTATGATAAAGTGCTCATTATCAGAGATAGAGCCTGTAATAAGTGAATTCTAGATTAATCTTCAGGCCAATTGTTATCTAGATGCATGAAACAGCCACCTGACGATTGGAATCTAGCATGAAAACAGACTGTCGCCTCTAAGTGTTGATATATATATATATATATATATATATATATATATATATATATATATATATGTATGTATTTAGAGAGAGGTATTTTTTTGTTCAAATTTATCTATTACTTTATGTAAATAATTGAGCCAAAAACACAAATGCCTGAAGATTGTTTCAAGTAGGAAACAGACTGTTGCTACTTCTGTGTGGCCTCATTATATTATATTTACATATATATATATATATATATATATATATATATATATATATATATATATATATATATATTAATGCATCTCATCAAGCTGTTGTGGTGAATGAATTATTTATTTAGATTTAAAACAAAATACAACCTTCTGTATGAAAAAAAAAATGTGGGGGTTATAAAATTTGTGAGCTTTACTCTGATCAACCAATCGAATATGACCTATGTTAAATTTAAACTAAGTGAAGAAGCAAAAATTATTTTTTATAAATGAATCATGACCCATAGATTGGTAGCTAACAGCAGCACAGACATAAACAGTAGTGGTTATTAATGTATGCATCAATTATATAAACTAGACAATGCCATTTCCTAAGAAATAAAAATGCGTTGGAAAGGTAATTTAACAAAATGCTGAACAAATTATATGCTTTGTGAGTTTCCTACATAAATTTTTTTATAGTTGATAAATAAATAACTTCTTTAAGAAACCAGTAAATAATTTAAACATATAGAATTACTTGGTAAATTAATCTGCAACTGTTAAATAAAGATTCTTCATATAAGATGTTAACAAAAAAATAACCAATCAATGTAAAATGTCAAAAATACTAACCAAGTACCAATACATCCATACAAGATGTTACTAATACTACCAGGAGATTAATACAAAATATATTAAATCCAAATTAATCTTACAAATAGAAAAATAAGCCATATATGTTGCAGCATAGTTCAACTAAAATTTAAGAAAAGACATTATCAAATTCTAAGTCTAACTGAACTGTAATGTAAAAAGTAGACTGTGTTTACAATTTACTACTAATTTGGATCTTTGATTTAATAAAGCATTCTTATCAATGACCTGATAATTCTCTTCTTACCTGGATATATATATATATGTAAATAAATTCTGTTTGCACATATATATATATATATATATATATATATATATATATATATATATATATATTTGAACAATAAAAAAATTAAAAAATTAAAATATTTAGACACACTGGGTTGTAGATTAATATTCTTTTGTTTTTTTTTTATTATTATTCCATTTAGATTCCTCGACTAGTTTCGACCAAAATGGCCATCATCGGGAGGTGAAATATTTATATATGCTAATTATGCTTATGGCCAAATCCCATTGAAGCACTCACTGGTTCTGGTTCAATCACTAGAGTTAAGGGACATTGAGCCTGGTCAGTACATAGCGAACTGCTTGGTAATATCAGGCATTTTAATTTTGAGATGTGCAGGTGGTTTGATGTATAGCAGCTTAGAATGAGAAACATAAAAATTAGCACCTACTCATTAACTGTGAAGATAATACAATAGACTGTACTACCCCTAATGCAAGAGATATAAGAAGTTCAGCCAAGATGCAACCCACATGGCCTGAAGATTGTGTTCTATCATGAAACAGATTGTCAATGCTTAGTTTTGACCTCAGTGTCCACATTTATATTAACATATATATTGCATATTGAGCACTTTTATGTATAAATTTAACTTTTAACTAAATTTTTATCATATATATGTGCTTATATGCATATAGAGAGATTTGTAATTTGTATAAATATTAGTAGAATTGAATTGGATATATATATATATATATATATATATATATATATATATATATATATATATATATATATATGTGTGTAAAATGTATATATATATGTCATTCGCAGACAGTACTGTTTTGATGTATCACAGCTCTTCAGTGCGACAAGACAATCAAATGCCTTAAGCCTGGATTGAAACCCAACCGATTTGGTGTCAGTCAGAGTTTCTACCACTGAGCTATTCATTCACCAGAATGAGGCAGCTAAATATAGCAATTTGTCTTTACAAATGTAAACAAATGTCAATCAGCTGGAGTGCTCCATTCATTTTACTGAAAAGCTTCACATTAACACAGGTGACAGTTGTTTGTAGAATTAGCTTGTTATTCAACAGTGCTCGGTTGAATAT